TAGGCCGAGCCCCTCTCCACCTGTGACAGCAATCCTGTGGTAAGGCTCCATGCTGAGGATCCCTGGATTACAGGAGAGGCTGTGGCCCATTGCTCTTCATTAACCAAGAAGAAGAAGAAGAAGAAGAAGAGATTGGATTTATACCCCGTCCTTCACTACCCAGAGGTGTCTCAGAGCGGCTTACAAACTCCTTTCCCTTCCCCTCCCCACAACAGACACCCTGCAAGGTAGGCGGGGCTGAGAGAACTCTGACACAAACTGCTCTTTTTCAAGAACAGCTCTGACAGAACTGTGGCATGCCCAAGGTCATCCAGCAGCTGCAAATAGAGGCATGGGGAATCAAACCCGGTTCTCTCAGATTAGTCCGCGCACTTAACCACACCACCAAACCGGCTCTCACACCAGACTGGCACAGGCACCTGTTTTAGAATAATAATAAATAATAAACAAATAAATAAAAATAGACTCCCAGGAAGCTTGGGCCAGAAGGACTTGGTGGTCTTTGTGGTGCCATTCTTTCTGTTCCCCTCTGCAATTTGTCCCTGTGGTGTAAACAGGCACGTACCCCAATTTCTCGTTCTCTGTCTGCTGACCTTCCTTCTGTCACGGAGGTGCTGAACGGTGCAACGGCTTCCCTTTCCTTTCCCCTCACAGGTCACCCCGGAGCCCTCGGAAGCTCTGCCTAAACTGCCGGACCCTGCAGCGGGCGACCACTCCGACGCAGTGGTGCTCTTCAAGGCACTTCCTGTCCAAGGGGGGGACCTGGAGACCAAAGCCCGGCTCAGCCCCCACACCCTTTCCTTCCCCACCTGCTGCATCAGCGAATCCGTACGGGAACTGGTGGCGCTGGCTTACCAGACGCTCGAGGAGGCCTCGGCCAGCACCGATCAGTAGTAAGGCTGTTGGGTATTTTGGGCTGAGCGGCGGGGTGGGGCGGGGCCAAAAGCTTCTTTCTTGGGGCTGCAGCTCACTGTAGGCTGCGTGGGCATGGTATGGCACCCTTGGCAACCCAGAAGGCTGTCGCTCACAAGGCCATTGTGGGCAGGCTGAAGGGAATCTGTCTGTACCTGTACGGGAACAGACTTAGAGTCCGGGCAAGCATGCGTCTTGCCGTCTTCTTTGCGCCTTGCAGAAGACGGGGGATCGCGTGCCGCAGGTGAATTCTGTCGAGGGGCGACGCCAGTGACTTCTCTCTGCTTCCCTCCCGCAGCAGCGCCCAGCTCTTCTACCGGGCAGGCTGAAGGGAATCTGTCTGTACCTGTACGGGAACAGACTTAGAGTCCGGGCAAGCATGCGTCTTGCCATCTTCTTTGCGCCTTGCAGAAGACGGGGGATCGCGTGCCCCAGGTGAATTCTGTCGAGGGGCGACGCCATTGACTTCTCTCTGCTTCCCTCCCACAGCAGTGCCCAGCTCTTCTATCTGGTGCGGAACATCTTCTACCTGTTCTGGGACGTCGTGCCGATGTACCACAAGTGAGTGGAGCCCTGCTGGTCCGTGCTTCTCCTCCAGTGGTTTCGGGTTACACAAGAACCACAAGAATTTTCTTATAGCAGTTTTCCCAGCGCTCCTTAAAATTTCCCAGGTTTTCCATTGCAAAAAACCCCCTAAAGAACTCCCGGGGAAAGAAATTTCTCTGTCCTACTATGCCAGGTCTTGCGAGTGTGTCTTCCAACAGCCACCACTCGCCTTTCTGTGGGTTCATCTGGATGCAGGAGCCCATGAGTGGCTCTTAGCCCCTAGGGGTAGAGGGTAGAGGGAACACTCTGTCTGGGGCAGTGGCTTGATCCAACATGGCTTCTCTTATTTTCTTAGCCTGGGGCAGTGATGCTCTGTATTCTTGGTGCATGGGGGGGGGGAGCAACAGTGGGAGGGCTTCTGGAGTTCTGCTCCCACTGGTGGACCTCCTGATGGCCCCTGGGTTTTGGCTACTGTGTGACAGACAGTGTTGGACTGGATGGGCCATTGGCCTAATCCAACATGGCTTCTCTTATGTTCTTATGTCTGGGGCAGTGATGCTGTGTATTCTTGGTGCTTGGGGGGTCACAGTGGGAGGGCTTCTGGAGTTCTGGCCCCACTGGTGGGCCTCCCGATGGCCCCTGGGTTTTGGCCGCTGTGTGACACGGAGTGTTGGACTGGATGGTCCACTGGCCCGATCCGACGTGGCGTCTCATATGTACCTCTGGCTGAGGGAGCCATTTCCTTTGGCTTCTTTTAATGCCAAGGAAAACACAGGAACTGCTTCTGTGGCTTTCCGAACGCATAGGAACGGCTGCTTTCCTTTTCCTCTCTCCCGGCTAGGGAGAAACTTCAGAAGCTCCCCCAGCTGGCCGCGATCCACCACAACAACTGCATGTATATCGCTCACCATCTCCTGACCCTGGGCCACCAGTTCCAGGGGCGCCTCAGCGGGCTCCTGTGTGACGGGACGGCCACCTTTGTCGACCTGGTGCCGGTCTTCAGGAGGCTCGGTGAGTCTGGAGCCCTGCGCGCCTTGCTGTCCTCCTGGCCCGGGGCTCCCCTGGAGGGTGGAGGGACCACCTCGGGGCCCAGAAAAGTCCTTTCGGGGGGGGGGTGTGATCGGAATCTCGGGAAGTAAATTTGGGGTAGGTCAGCAATTCTAACCTTGGTATTGTGGATCCCGGAGAATCTCCAAAGGGGGAGTCAGACCCTCGGTGCTCCCCGGGCAACCTGGTCCAGTTTGGTGTGGTGGTTAAGTGCGCGGACTCTAATCTGGGAGAACCGGGTTTGATTCCTCACTCCTCCACTTGCAGCTGCTGGATGACCTTGGGCCAATCACAGTTCTGACAAGAGCTGTCCTTGAAAAAGAACAGTTTCTGTCAGAGCTCTCTCAGCCCCACCAACCTCACAGGGTGTCTGTTGTGGGGAGGGGAGGGAAAGGAGTTTGTAAGCCACTCTGAGACACCTTTGGGTAGTGAAGGGCCATGGGGTATG